TGGCCCGGCCGGGGCGACCGGACCAAGTGGCCCGTCGTGCAGCGCGGCTGGCGCCCCACTGTCCGGGCAGCGGAGCATGCATGTGCGCGGCACAACCCGACGTGGCCGACGGGGGCGAGCGGCTCGTCGTCGTCGCACGCATGCACGGCGCCACGCAGGACGTACCTCGCTGGCTGGCCGGGCCGCGAGGCGACGCCCCGGCCCTGCGGTTCAACTAGGCTGCCTCTCCGCTCGACTCGATTGGTGGTGGAAATTGGTGTCGTTTGTCTCCTTTGGCGTTCTTGGCGATGATTATTAGTACATGGTCTCGCGGGCTCCTGGTTCTTGGTTGGACTGACCTTCGAATCTACGATCGATCTCGTGGAGCGGAGACGGGCACGATCGTGGGCTGCTTAGAATAGTGAACACAGTATAAGTGCAAGTTCCTAGGCATATGGATAGGGTTGTGAAACGGCTTGTCGTTTCTACATCGAGTGTTATCTGATACAGTATGATACACGACAACCTATGATGGGTAATCCATGTCAGCTGGTTTCCATGTGCGCACAGGTACTGTAGGAACTATGGACAAGAAAGGTTATGGGCATGCATGCATGCTTGCTTGCTTTCGATACTGTGGACAAGAAAGCTTCCCGGCATGCCTCTGTGGTTTGACGTTGTTCTTTGAAGTGAAACTCCCGTAGATTTGCATGCATGTGCGACCCTTCAAATCTCAACGTTAATACACGGCTTCTACGTATTCTCGTCCCGTTTAAAATTGGCACCAAAGGAAGGTTACACTTACACGCACGCAGTACTGGGTGGACGTATCCACGCACGATTCATGTCTAGTTTTAAGGGGGTGAGCCAACAGATGCAGCGAGACTGCGAGAGTCCACCGCGCTTTGTTACGCTCGGCAACGGACGATGACGGAACCATGCACGCACACAGACAAACCGCGGCCGTTGACACAACCTACGCGTACGTATGGCTAGCAAGCTAAATCGAATCAGACCAGTGGCCCATGCGGCCGGGCACGTGAAGTCCGTCAACTTTGGTCAGCAGCGCGCTACGCGTACCGTTGCCCATGACGGGACGCGGCATGGCGCCGCTCCGGCGCACCCACCTCGCTCCCGGATAGGAGACTACGCGCCGCTACACGCTAGACTCGACATGTGCCTACGTGCCTACGTACATGCGAGCTAGCTCTAACGCAAAAGCTTTGCCTAGGCTTTCCACCTACCAGCAACCGAAAAAGCTCACTGACGCAAACGATGCGAGGGGATATTCCAGAAACTTCTGCAACACGCTCGTATAGGTCTTTTCGCCAACTTAGCTCTCTGGCCTAACAAATCTGAGGCCCCGCTCGGTTTGGAGTTGAAGAAACCACATGAATGGCAGAGGATACAGGAATGACAGAGGAATACGATGCTAAAACATACTCTCTCCTTTCCGGTTTATAGGGCTTATCTCAAAATTTTAGTTTTTCTATTTTATAAGGTTCAATTTAGTTGTTCCCCATCATATTTTCAGACTTTAAGGTGCATTAAATCACTGCATGCAAGTGTTAAGAGAAAACTGACCAATGCATGCACTTTATGCATGCATGCATTGCAATTAATGCATTCGTAAACATAATTTTTTGAGGAAAATAAGAGCATTAACTGGGTGCTTTTGCAAACTACAAAAAATATTCCACCACTCATCATCTACCTTGGTTGGTGAGATTTTTGAATTGAGCCTTATAAACCGGAAAGGAGGGAGTAAGAATCAGTACTTAATTCATGAGCTCTGC